ACATTTAAGTAATAATGCTGTATGTTTTTTGTTTGATGAAATTCGCTATGAACTAAATGGTATTAAAATTGATCGCTGTAAATACGTTGGACATACTACAATCATGAAAAATTACACCTCGCAAACATCAAATCAGCTAAATTTTATTGAAAATGCTGGATATTCCAAAATTGCAGCTGATGCAAGACTTACTTTGGAAAATGGTTATTTTGATGTCACAATACCACTCAGCATGATTTTTGGTTTTGCTGAAGATTATAAAAAAATCATTATGAACGCTAAACATGAACTTATTTTAACAAGAGCACGTTCTGACGTGAATGCCATAATTCAAACAGGACAAGGAGGGGATGAAGAATTCAAAATTATCATTAATAAACTTGAATGGATGGTTCCATACGTTTTACCTTCTGACAATAACAAAGTTAAATTGTTAAAATTTATTGAAAAGGATCCATTAATTTCAATAAGTTTTAGGTCGTGGGAAATGTATGAGTATCCTTTAATTCCTACAAGTTCAAAAGTTTTGTGGCAAATTAAAACATCAACACAATTAGAGAAACCTCGTTATGTTATTGTTGGATTTCAAACAGCGAGGAAAGATAAACGCAAAAGATATGCCTGTCATTTCGACCATTGTAATATTACAAATGTGAAACTGTTTTTAAATTCACAATATTATCCTTATGGAAATTTAAATCTAAACTTTGATCAAAATCAGTACTCTCTACTTTATGAAATGTATGCTAATTTTCAATCATCATATTATGGAAAAGATTCAAAACTTATTTTAACAAAGGATATTTTCAAAAGTTTATTTCCTCTAATTGTTATTGATTGTTCTAAACAAAACGAGTTTTTAAAACAAGCATCAGTTGATGTGAGGTTAGAATTTGAAGCAGGATTCAACATGCCAGCCGAGACCACCGCCTACTGCTTAATCATCCATGATCGCGTCATACAATATAAGCCAATCAGCGGCGTTGTAAAGAAACTATTGTAAAAGAGTGGGGATAATGTGGTGGTGGTGGGGGATGATTACTATAAAAGCAGATGCTCTCAGCGAGAAATTCAACCAGATGCACAGCCTCTCGTCTACCTTTTTGAACCTCCTTGCCCTTGGAATTCACTGCGAGGAAGCTACAAAAGTGAAAATCTTTGGCTAACTCATAATTACCATGGGATTGATTGGACTGCAGGAGACGTACCATACGATGAACTTCAATCTATTCTACAAGGAATCCTGCGCGGTGCTAGTGCCATCTACGTCAAAGGATTAGAAAAAAAGACTTGGCTAGAGAAATACTTACTAAATGTACAAAATTTAGAAGATTTTAATTGTCCATCGTTAAAAAACTTAAAACTAAATTATTGTTAACGACTTGTAAACATCATACTCTTTATATTGAAAACTGTGCCGCAAAAAATGTTAAACTTCTTCTAGAATGGTTTTTGGAACCTCCAAACCAATATATAAGTGCTATTTTTAATGGAATTGATGAAATTGATTCTACGATTAATACTACTTTAAAATCTTTCTACGAAAATTGTGAATCTTTTTGTAAATAAATTTAATAAAGAAAAATAAATAAATATTATTGATTAAAAATTTAAAACAATGTTTCTTATTTAAAAAAAAACCTATCCTTTAAAATTTTATTTAATTTTAATACTAATTTATATAATTCCTAGAAAGAAAATTATTCTAAATCTTAAAATTAACTTATATTAAAAGACGGAAAAATAAATTTAAAACCAATTTATAGGTAAAACTTTGTGTGTTCATTTTATCAAAATTTTTTAAAATATATATACATTTTCTTTTTTTTTACAATTTATTGTAACAATTTAAATTCGACAACATTATACGGTCCTCCAAGATACTTCATTTGAAGTTTCTTCGATATCGCAGCTTCTTTCGTCATTTCCAAGGTGGTTGGTTCATCCTCAAAGAGCTTGATGAATCTCGTTGGTAAGTATGTGACGAAATCAGCATCAATCTCAAATATGATCCTAGGTCCATATTTGATCTGGACCTTCTTCATTTTTGAGACGTAGTACAGTCCATCTTTCATCAATTCCGCGAGCGGCTTCGTCGGCAGGTAACCTTCAAAACGGCCAACAGAGTTAACTTTTTCTAGATCCATTTTTAAGATACTTAAAGCTGTAAGAAAACCTTGAACAAAAAACAAGACAAAAAACTAATATAAATAGAATTCAAAAACTATCATAATGCTGAAAAAAATGAAGATGTAATACGAGGTTAATAATAATGAGGAATATTTTATACATACTATTACTTGGAAGACCTGCAAGAAAGAATGATTTTTGGCAGCCCGTGATCACTTTATATAATCGGTGTCCCCACTTTTTTCAAACCCCACCACACTACTATGCATGCGCAGCTCCAATCTCACCATAATTGCACAGCTGCAACCATCTTATATCCATGATGTATATGACGTCACACCCAGTGCCGTATTTGGTAAATTAGTAAATTTAAAGAAATACAAAAATCACTATAATTCACTAGCACAGAAAAAAAATTTAGGTTTTAAGTAATTTATTAGACTTAAATAATTAAATATTTTAATTAATCATTTAATTTAAATTGAGTTTTTGAATTCAATATAGATTTCTATTCTATTTCTAATGTTTATAATCGAAGAAACAATCGATCTCTCTAAAGAAAAATATTCAATTTTCAACTTTTACGTAAATCATTATGTTACGTAGAACCCAGCACGGATTGAAGGATGACACAACCAATGTAGTGAATTAGACTTTACTATATTAGCTGAATGTTTAAGATGTCATACCATGTAGGTGTAAAAGCGTTAAAAACATTTAACCAATAAGATCTATCTGTTAAATAGAAATCTTTTGAACAGATAGATCTTATTGGTTAAATGTTTTTAACGCTTTTACGTCTACATGGGATGATATCTTTAAACTATTCAGCTAAAATGAGTTTAGGTTGGGTATATTATATCAGCAATATTGGAAATATTCGGAAACTTACTGCTCCTTACCATGAAATATTTGACTAATAAAAAATTACTTTATATAAGAATCATGATAAAAAAACGAATAAAAATATGTAATTAAAAAAAATATTCTTTTTATTCTTATTATTATTATTTATTATAAGAGAGAAGTTTATTTTTTTTTATTTTTGAAAAATTTCAAGTTTAATGTTAAAATTATTATTAATCGATTAATTGTTCTATTCATATTTCTTATAATATATTGTGAAATTGAATAATTAAAATTGGTAGACCATTGTTCATAATTAATTATAGTCTTAATATAACTTTTGTTGAGTTAAAACTTCAAATTGTGAAAGAAGAATTCAACTTCATCAGCAATTACCCAAGTAGAAACTTATGCCTGGATCCAACCATGGCCCTTGTCTGGAAGCCCTGTTCCATACGTGGGCCATGCTGATTAAACATTTTAAAACTCTTTATATAGTTTTTAATGTCGAAAATAGGTTACATCTAATGTGTACATTTGAAGCTCAAAGACTAATTAAATTTATTTATTTGAGAAAAAACACTTTTAACAATTAAACCCAATTTATTTAAAATTTTTATAAATAATTTATTAATTTAGGATTTACCTAAAGTTATCATGAAATTGAAGTTACCAACGTTGATTTAACGAAAAAATTAGAAGAAATTTTTTTCTAAAAAGTTCAGTATACTAATTTTTCTTAATAACATTTTTTTATTTATTTTTTTAAGGGGAAAAAATAGAGGAAAGGGGGAAAAAGGGGACGAACTGTGATCCCTGGAATGTCTGCTGATAAGAAAATAAACAATTAACAAAAGAAAAAATTGTTTCCAAGGCAAGAAATTATTAATTAAGTTATAATTCCGAAATTTTTGGAAAATCCGTGACAAAAAAATAAAAACCCCTGCTTTCCCCGACTTTAACCTTTTGCAATTTTTTAAAGGATTTTGAAGATTAAAATAAATAGTTATTAAAGGAAAAAAATTGTTTCCAAGCCGAGGAATTAACAATTTACTTGAAATTCCTGGATTTTCGGAAAATCCGTAACAAAAAAAATCACTGCTTTCCCCGACTTAGATCCTCTTGGAATCTTTTTTAAATGGTTTCTGACATTAAAATAAACAATTATCATAAGAAAAAATCATTTGAAAAAAAAAATTTTTTAATTTAAAAAAAATTTTTTTAAATAATTTTCTTAAATAATTTTTTTTTATCAGCCTGTAAAAATGCACCAGTATACCAATTTTTAGCTAATTAGATCAAATAATGTAGAGCTTGAAGAATCATTAAGTTGAAATTTCGAAATTTTTGGAAAATCCGTGACACAAAAAAATTCAAAAGATGTTATTTCAATAATTTAATTTTCGGGTTTACTTAAACAAGCAAAGTCATGGAATAATGACAAGAAATGTCTGAATAAATGATCTGATAAAAATTTTAAAAGTAGGGAAAAAGTCTGCTGCGGGTTACAAAACTTGGATGGGCCATGGATGGCTTCCATGTATGGGCCACAATTAAACATCGGGCAAAGCTAGGGAAATTTCTACTTGGGTACTGACATCATTTAGAAGTAATTTATACAATTTGATTTAGGATTAAATAATTCGTATGAAAATTATATCAGTAAAACTTTTTCAAAAAAATAATATCAGTAAAACTTTTTCAAAAATTATCTAAATGAAACGAATATCTCTTATAAAACAAGCGGTATGATAGATTATTTTAAATTTGATATGAAAAAAAAAGTAAAAAATTTATATTTTAAGATAATTTAACTGTAGTGGTTATGTGAGAAAAAACCATTATTTATTATTATTTATTTATTATTTTTATTATTATTATTATTATTTTAGTTTATTTAAAATTTACTTAAGTTAATGAAAAACAAAATTTTTTTTTAAAATGAAATAAGATATAAAATAAAATTTAAGAATATATTAGACTGAAGGAACTTTGTTAAAACAGTTATAATAAAAAAAAACCAATAAGTTTTAAAAAAGTGAAAATTTTATTATTATTATTATAGTGTACTAAAAACTGAGATTCAAATAACTTTAAACCATTCACAAACATCACAAACAAAAAACACTTTTAACAATTTTTTGTGTGAAATCACATCCGATTAAATTCGGAAATTCAAACTTTCATTTAAAGAAAATTATATCTTCAAATAGACACATTGAAGCGCTTTTAAATTACTTTTTTTTTTAAGCGCGTACACATCCGATTAATTTCGGAAAAATGGAATTTTGTTAAAATTTAATTAAATAAGAAAAAAATATCACAAAGAAAAAAAAATTATCACAAAGAAAAAGAAATTACTGATAAAAAATAAAAATTACTGTCACTTTTCAGTCTTAAACACTTAAAAATTTAACTTTTTTTTGCAGGATCACCATTTTCCTTATTTTTTCACATTTCATTTGAGGTCTTGTTGGTTTCCTTACACAGGGATTGGGCACCTCCTCAGCCTTTTCCCTTTTTTCAATCGTTCCCCCTTTCCGATATTCAAGTTTTACTGCTTCGTCTCGTGGATTAAAATTTTTTTTTAAATTTTTAATTTTTTCAGCAACAGTAACTGGTTTCTTCTTATTATTATTAGTATTCTCCATTGATGATAAAGAAGAGTCGGAAGAATCAGTAGATGATGGTGATGATGATGGTGCAGATGAGGAATGAGAGATTTTTTTTTAATTGACAAATTTTCAGGAACAGAAGGTAAAAGATTTGTTGGAAGTTGGAATTTTTGTTGTGGAAATAAGGTTTCAGTTGGAATTGGATGACATTTTTGAGATTGTGAAGTGAAAGGAACAGGTGCACCATTCCATCTACTAATTCTTCGACGCTTTTCGGAAACAGTAAAAGCTTCTGAGGATTCAGGATGAATTATGATATTATCATGGTGAGCTGAAGATGTTGAAGCCTGAGATGGAGCTTTTGATGGTTCCAAAAATCCAGGTTGTGTTGGAGGCCTTGGAGAAAAAGAATATCCTGGACGGTATGAAGATCCATTTTGTGAATGAACTCTTGAATAATCTTGGTAGCTGGGCTGTGTTGGAGGCCTTGGAGGTGCTGAAAGTCTCTGCTGTGTTGAAAATCCTGCATGTGTTGGATTTTCAATTCTGGTTGAACTCCGAGGATAGTTGAAATGGGTAGACGGTTTATTTGAAGAAAAATATCTCGATAAAGATCGTTCACCATGTTCCACCGTAAAAGCATATGACTGCTGATGTTGATGAAGCTGAAAAAAGACGATATTTTAATAATTTTTATTAAAATTTTGGAAAATAATTGAATTTTATGAACAAATTTCTTTCAAATTCTTAAAATAATTTTATTTTTAAAAAATTGAAACTAAACATTTAATTATTGAATTTTATTAAAAAATTTTGAAAATAATTGAATTCTCGATCAGAACAATTTTTTGAAATTAATTTTTATTATTTATAAATATATAATTCAATTCTTTGAAAAAGAATTATATTAACATTATATTGAATTTTGCAAAGAATTTTACTATTTGTTAATATAATTAAATTTTTTCAAAGAATTTATTAAAATTTTGGAAAATAATTGAATTCTTAATAAGAAAAATTTACAATTATTAAAATAGTTGAATCGTATCGAAGGATTTATTAAAATTTATAGAAAAAATATAATTTTTCTAAATATATTTTATAGTGAATTAAAATTTCTATTTATTTTATGGAATTTTGAAAATAATTGAATTTTTAAATTGAAAATGCTATAATGGAATAAAAAAAATGAATTCTTTCGTGGAATTTTTGAAAATAATTAAATTTAATTTATTATCAATCTTTATTTATAATCTATTTTATATTATGTTTTTTTTGCAGTTAGTATTAAGTTTTATATTTGATTTTTAGTTTGTTATTTATAATAGAAAATTTTTCCAAATTCTAGAATTAAAATATTTTTAAAAATAAAGTACCTCGTGTCGATGATTCCTAAGGATTCCTGAAATCATTTGATTGCCATCTTTGTTGAAATGAAACAAAAATCTGCATAAGCAGCATGAGCACATGTGTGCCTTTTTTTCCTCATCACCCTATAAAATTTAAAATTTAAAATTATGTAATATTTAAAAAAAAATGAATATTTAATGAGAATTAAACATGTTTTTTTTAAATAAATAAATCATTAGTATGTACATACCATTTATATTCCTTCGAAATTATTCACAGTAGAGGAAAAGAAAATGCGTCCACACAGTTTAGTGATAAATATCGGAAAGACAGACAGTTTCACTTCAACCGTTATCATAACCGGCATCAAATTAGTGAGTTATAAACCTACACTGGTGGGGGTGACTATATTTTTGATATAATATCAATTACTTAAAGTGACATGGCGTGACAATCGTAAAGATTAGAGAATACTAAACGAAATTCAAATCTCTCATATACTTAGTGTGAGACATATTATTTATTTTATTTTAATTTAATTTATTTTAATTTATTTATTTATTTGTTTATTTATTTATTTATTTATTTATTTATTTATTTTATTTATTTTATTTATTTTATTTATTTTATTTATTTTATTTATTTTATTTATTTTATTTATTTTATTTATTTTATTTATTTTATTTATTTTATTTATTTTATTTATTTTATTTATTTTATTTATTTTATTTATTTTATTTATTTTATTTATTTTATTTATTATTATTATTATATATATATATATCATCTTTTGAATTGTAGCAGCTAAGTAAATTTACTGCAGTTAATGTAGAACACTGATATACCAACTGACATAAATCTATAGCAGCCTAAACTAAACTCGGTTGGTAAGGTAGAACACCCCCTCTAACCCACCTAAAACTTTAAAAATGGAAATTCAAATATCCCTCCAAGGGAGTTTAAATTGGTTAAAAAATATAATGGCGCCATCTTACGGTGACAGGCGGTACTAAAACTCGGTCGGTAAGGTAGAACACCCCTTCTAACCCACTAAAATGTTTAAATATATAAATTAAAATACCCCACTACTGGGGTTTAAAGTGAGATAAAACTAAAATGGCGCCATCTAGCGGTGGCAGCCGGTACTTAAACTCGGTCGGTAAGGTAGAACACACCCTCTAACCCACTTGAAAGTTTAAAAATATATATTAAAATACCCCACTAAGCGGGTTTAAAGTGAGAAAAACTAAAATGGCACCATCTAGCGGTGGCAGCCGGTACTAAAAACTCGGTCGGTAAGGTAGAACACCCCCTCTAACCGACTTGAATTACCGACATCGGTCGGTAACTGGGCCAGAACCCGCCTAGCTATACTACTTCATTTGAATTCAATTATTCTGACATTTGAACATCAAAAAATTGGTTTGTTCTATTATTAACCACCAAAGAATAAAAATAATATACATTAAATTGGAATATTTTCCTTTAAAGAAGAAAACTTTAGAGGATATTAGAAGAGGATTTTTCCTTTAACTATGAAATAACTCTTTTTAGGGTGCACGAAATTAGAAAAATTAGTCAATTTTTTTCAAAATGTCTTAGGAGATAAATCTCTCAAAAATATAAAATAATATTTATTTACATATCAGTCGACGCAGAATTTAATAGGCTTTCAAACATAATATTTTTAAATATATTTTTTGTTTAAACCAGAACAGAAAATACATTATAATTAAATATAATTATTCAAATAAATAATACTTTTGAATGAAAGCAGTAGATATTTTCTATATATTGGGATTAAACTTATAAACTAATTTCAATTACAAAATCATCTAAAATTATTTTTGTATTTGAATTAAGTATATAATGTTTTCATTAATGTTTTTTTTGTGAAGTAGCTATCATTTTTCAATAATAAACTATGTTAATTTAATTTTAGCAGCAATTTTTCTTAGCTCGCCCGTCGTTTGTACTGACAATTTCTGACGGTATATTGTATTTTAAAATTTATTTATTATTAATTTTTTTATTATCCTACAATTTTTTGTTATAAATAAAATTATATTTATATTATAAAAAAGTTTAATAAATAATATATAAATAATTAATATATTAATAAGGGTGTCCAGCGGTCAGGGAAGTCAGGGAATTTTAATCAAAATCAGGAAATTTTTTTAAAATTTATAAGAAATCGATTTTTTTTATTTTTTAAATTTTCAGCCGACCAGATACTTGAATGAGTGAATCACTTTCGTTTATTGGTTCTCTTTCATTTTTGAAATCATCATCAAAAGGCTTTTCTAATTTGGAAAACTTTGTGAAAATGATTTAAATTTTATCTCATGGGAACGCGGCTTTAGATCGTGGTTTTTCAATAAACAAATAATTAAATTATTTTATCTTTGTTTTTTTAGATTTTATGTGTGTAATATTTTGTTTACAACAAAAGAAGGTTTATAATGATGATAAATAAAGTGTTTAAGTTCACTATCATAAAATTACGTTAATATTTACCAGCTCACATAATTTTTTTTGTTAAAGATTTGTTATAAAAAAGGGAAGGGAAGAGTCAAGGGAAAGTCAGGAAATTTTTTTCTTAGTACTTGCAGGACACCCTGAATTAATTATAAAATAAATGTATATGTATTTTATAAGTAAATAAAATTTATTTTTGAATAAATACCAAGAACCGTTTCGAAATTTTAGTTTCGTTTTAGTTCCTGATTTTCAGTTTAATTCCACTGATTCAAATCGCGAGAATAAAGTCACTGATTCTTAGTCAAATTTCACTAATCTTAAGTAGGAATTTCACTGATTCTGATTTAGAGAGTAAATTTCAATAAAATTAGGCCTAATTTTTGATGATTTTGTTCGTATTACTTCATGTAATAAATGTTTTTTATAATAAACCAAATATGATCATTTATTTTATATAAATATGTCTATTTTTTATAAATTATGTTAAATTATTTGATTTTTTAATTATGTTTTGAAAATTACTTTTTCATCGTCAAACTCGAAACACTGTTGGCGCGCGCAATTGTCGTCTAGTAACTTTATATAAATCGAAGTAACCATCTACTTAACGATTTTTTCCATTAATTTATTTAGTAATTTCTTGATTTTATACTCATTTACAGGTGTCAATTCTTATAACAAACATGAAATTTTCAACAGATGTAAAGAAAATTATCAGAAAAATTTGTCTTTTTGTCTCTTTATAAACGTTTGCAAATAATGGTAAAAATGTCTAGTTTTTGGAGAAATTTTAATTTATCTCGGAACTGTGACGTGTTGGGGCAAAAGTAGACCCAGATTTGGATTCAGGGCGTCAAAATACGTATAGAACACATGGTCCCGTCAATGTATATTTACCCGAAGAAAATTTTGTGGTCCTGTGTAATATATTAACTTGAAAGAAAATGTGTTCAATATATAATAATACCTACAATAAATAACACATTAAATAAATATATAAAAAACATATTATTAATTTATTTATTGTTAATTAATTAATAATCTCTTTTTAATTTAAACAATATATTAAGTAATTATTTATTGACACTTTTCTGCAAATTAAATAATTAAAAAAATGTGTTGTGCATTCAAATTTCATTCAATTATTAATAATTACGTAATAAATATTAAAAAATATAATAATAAAATTATAACAAGTTTCTTTTTAAACGAAATATTGAAATATTCATAAATGCCGGTATAACATCAGTCCGTATTTGAAAATTGTTTATTGCCGCGTAGTAATTTTACAATGTTTATTTTAGCTAGTGCGACTTGAAAGCATTTAAGATTTGAGAGTTCCATGCGATCGTAACATAGTGGTTAGCGTGCGTGATTTCGGTGCGTAAATATTCGGTTAGGCGTAGGTTCGTACCCCCAAGCAATAGGATTTTTCAAATGTGAATATAAAAAAATACCGTTAAGTGTATAAAAAAATGTGTAAAGTGAACTATCAATGAATTGTTATCAGTATTTATCTTCTGCAATTAATTATTATTTTTTTATTGATATTTGTTGAAATTATCATTTTGATCCGAGCCGGTTGTCAGGCGGTAGAATGCCAGCATTGCCAGTGCACATCTGGCTAGAAAATTAAAGATCCGCAGTCGGTACAGTTCCGGGTCCCAGCCTGTTGAATTATACACGGAACGGCTCTTCGCGGCCGGTTACCGGGCGGTAGAATGCCATCCGACACGGATGGCCAGCCAGCTCCTGGCCAAGTCATCTTTTGGTAGAATACCAGTTCTCGGGCGGTAGGCAGACGGTTCATAGCCAATACCGCTACTCCGACGTCGGTACGGGCGAGGATCAGCGCCGGTTGTAAATATGTAATAGCTCCCAATTTAAAAGATTTTTTATATAAACGCTTAAAAAAATATGAGTTACAGTTGAATATATGTGAAACATGGTGGAAATGTTTTATTTCATTCAAAAAAATTCTTACCTTAAAAAAATTCGCGGAAAACGGCTAAAAAACAGCGTTCTAATGTGGTTTCCCCCCTTAAATAAGGAAAAGATAATAAATTAAACAAATTAATTTTTTTTACACGGAGAGAAATCTGCTGCTAATATTACTCGAAAGAGCACATTACTTAAATTGCTTAACGTTTCTCTTATATTTTTAGCATGGATTCATATACTTATTGTAAAAATACTTTCAATGCAATAAGCATAAGAGACAGTAGCTAATTTTGCACGAAATCTTTATTATAAATACAAAGAGAACGTGCTATAAAAGTATTAGATTCTTCTTATAAGAATCGCTCGAACTCCGACTGATTTTCAGGCGGACTTTATACAACACAATCTTACTTGTGTATACGCACATATAACTTACCCCCCGCGCGATCAGCTATTAAGTACGCTTGACAGTGGTTCTGTGTTCCGAATCTTATGTATGCGTTTCTCAACATTCTTTTCAGTTATATATGTTTTTCAGTGTCAACGCCTTTTTATGATTTTGTTATGAAAAGTATCGTGCGCAACACGTGTGGCGGCATTTTGGAACGAGCGCTAAGTTTTCGTAACGAGTCGTAGGTGAGGGCGCCGAAGGCGCCCTCACCGGAGACGAGTTACGAAAAAGAAGCGCTCGTTCCAAAAAGGCCGCTAGTTCAAACTTGTTACGCAATGTACTAATATATTATATGTAGTATTTAATACTTGTTGCTGTTATAAAAAGATAATATTTATTTAATAGTAAGTATATTATTTAAAAATTATTGCATTTTTATTCGTGTTTGAATATATAAGCAACATGTGAAAATTGTTAGGTTATGTTATTGAAAACGTCACCGCTTTGTACGCGTTCCATTCCTCGAAACCATCCAGAGAAATATATGTGTGTGTGAGTTATATGTGCGTACACGCAAGTAAGATTGTGTTATATAAAGTCCGCCTGAAAATCAGTCGGAGTTAGAGCGATTC